GGCACTCTAATTCATCCCAAATATTCTCGATAGGGTTGTGGTTGGGGTTTTGCGCGGGCCAGGGAAGTTGATCAATATTATTATCCAAAATCCAATGCAAAGTTGACCTTGCTCGATGAATTTGAGCGTTATTTTGATTATTCAACCCTCCTAAATAAGGTAACAAATGGTTATTTAAAATATTGATATAGTCATTTGCAGTTTGCCTACCGTTAACTCAAACTAGAGGACCCAATCCAAATGAACCAAAACATCCCCAGACCATGACCCCCTTGCAACCTGATTTAAAGGTTGGAACTAAACAGTTAACATCATATTTTTCTTCAAGTTTTCTCCAAACATAATCATGACCGTCTCCCCCAAATACTTCAAACTGTGATTTGTTGCTCCATATGATGAATTTCCACTCCTTCTTCTAATTAATTCTTTCTCGTGACCATTCTAAATGTAATTTACAATTTCTTTTGTTAATGAAAGATTTTCTCTTGCCAACTCGACCATAAAATCCTTCTTCATGCAAATAACATTGTATAGTACATGAGGAAACATTGATAGAAGTTGACTCAATAAATTTATTAGTTAAATTATTTAAGGAAGCTTTTCGAACTGTCTTTAATAAATAAACAAGATGACGTGTATCTCATTTAGTTAGTTTAGGCTTTGGTCCAGGGCGTGGAGATGGTTTTATTTCACCAGTTTTTTTATAAGTATTAATAATCCTGTAGACAATAGTTTTTTTGAATTTTAGGGTATTTATAATGGTAGGAATTAGACTCCACACTTCCAAGCACTGATGATCTCATTGCATTCTTTTTCTGAAAGTTCTCTTCATTTTTTATCCATCACGAGTAAGAAAAGGATGAGGTAGTATCTCGATTACACAATAAAAAAAAGTCTTCTGAAAAAAGGGAAAAAAAATTTGTATCACTTTATTTATGCTAATCTGCATGCAAATCGCTTAGAAAGAATATTAATAGTCATAGCTGATCATACTTAATTCAGAAAGTTCCATGACCTATGTCAGGTACATATACCATGAAGATATTGTTACACATTCAAATTGGAAATCAGATGTTTACTTTCTGTGATGACTTAATATAATGACATATATACTATGAATTATTATAATAATTCTCTATAATGTGACATGATCTATGAATTATTTATATAATTCTTTATAACATGACATGATTTGAAATAAGTTATTTTAGACAAATTTATCAAAGAAATGCTCATAAAATATTTATTTTTCATTTTCGAATTAACAAACAAAAATTGAGTAACAAATTTGAATAAATAATAATGATCACACTTGAAAAATTTATTGAAATCATTTTGATTATAAACTCTGTCTGGCTTCATCTGATATATATATAATAATGCAGACTATTTGTAATGTAAAAGATAGATAAATCTCTATGTTGTCATGGTTGATATTGAAAGTAAAAAAGTGATTTATTTTATTTTAATTATTATTATAATTAAAAATTAAACTTTAACTATACTAGTTTGACTAAAGTTCATTTGAAAATAATTAATAATAATTAAATATAATTTATAATATAGCCAGTGATTCAAATTTTTATAATTATTTTTTTAATAGAACTTCCAATTTTAAATTTTTAGAAAAATTAATTTAATAGAAATTCTATAATTCTTATTTGAATTAAATTAATTACTTTTATATTTACTATTTTTAATTGATATTTTTAATAGAATTTATATAATAAAATTTATATAATTAGAATTAGCAAATCCTGCTTTATATAATATATTATTTGATTTTCTGAATAATTTTTTATTAATAAGTCAAGATCAATTTATTCATATGATTATTTAATATTGTAGATTATTAAAATATGATATTGAAGTGATTTGATCTTAATATTTTATGTTTTTATTATATTACCAATTATAAATTTAGATATTTTAATATTTTACTGATTTTACATATTGTTTTATCTTTTTATAAATTAACAATTTTATCATAATCAAAATCTGTAAGTTCTGATCTTTTAAGTACTATTCAAAAATAATTCTTTTAAAAATTTACAAATAATCAATCAGTATTTTTTTGCAGAAAACTCTAAAAATTTTATAGATGCATTCAATAAATAAAATATAATAAAATTGATATATAGATATACTATAATTAGTATTTAAAGTCTGTTAATATTTCCAGTTATCAATCTTATTTGGATACTTTAGTCAGTTCATTGTAAATTAATTTAATCTATATAATAGCTGAATATAATAATATTAAATGATTTAACTTTTTATATCACTATTTATTTAATGGAAAAATCTATATAATAATATAATAGTATTTTTTAATATTTCAGATATTTTATATATATTCAGAGTTAAAATATCTTCTAAATAATATTCTTTCTAAATTTTATTTTAAAATATATATAAATTTAATATTATGTGGGGGACTGAAAAGTTTTGCATATGATACTCTAACTTGAGATTGCATCAGTTTAATTGAAATTAGAAATAATCATCAAATACACATGGTTTTATATAATAAATAAAAAAAAAGTAGAAGCAAATTCATTATCTCATTGTCAAGAAAATAATTTTTTTGCAAAGTATAGTAAAATAACTAGAAGAAAATAAGCCATGAAAACTAATAATACTTTATTTTCATTTCTTGGAAAAATGACAGAAATGCAACTCAAATCCATGAAGAGTTGGTAAATGTAGAAGGAAAACAAGTATTATCTATCAGCATAATTAGATGCCAGATTGCTATATTTAAAGATGGAAAAGAAGAAATTAAAGACAATATCTATTCTGAACATCCTTATAAAGCAGTAATATCAGAAAAAATTTCCAGAATCAAGGATCTCATTAGTGATAATTTGCATATTTCTATTAAAGAATTAACTAACAAAGTTAGTATTTTCTGTGAAAGAATTTCTTATATTTTGCATAAAGAGCTGAATTTTCACAAACTCTGTGCAAAATGAATTCCTCATAGGCTTTCAAAGGAATATAAATGAAATTGTGTTAAACTTTCCAAGCAACTATTAAAAATTTTAGACAGAGAATACAAAAATATTATTACTGATAATGAAATATGAATATATTTCTTTACTATTTCAAATAAGGAAGCAAATAAGTCATGGCTAGAAAAGGATGAGAATAGGTTACAAATTGTGAAGATGGCTTAAAATTCAAAAAAAAGAATGTTTTGCATATTTTTTTCTATAGATGGAATTATTATATGATTTGTGATTCCAAAAGGACAAACAGTTAATACTAATCTTTATGTCAATGAGATACTACCAAAGTTTTTTCAAACTTTATGGAAAAAAGAGATAGAATAACTGTTTGTAACATCACGCTTCATCATGATAATGCCACAGCATATAAAGCAAGAATTATAATGGAATATCTTCATAATAAATAAGTGGAACTTCTTCCCCACCTGTTATATAGTCCAGATCTTGCTTCTTGTGATTTTTTCTTATTCTCTCAAATAAAAAAAGAACTAAAGGGAAAGAGATTTGATAAGGTCAAAAACTTGGCAAGGGCTATTTAGGCAGTTGTTGAAGATATCCTAAAAGAGAACTATGAGAACTCTTTTCAGAGTTGACAAAATCAACTAGAATGTTGTATAGAGTTTAATGGAGAGTACTTTGAAGGAATAAAGAAGTTGTATTGATAATTATTATAACAGTTCTGGAAATAAATGTCCACGCGCAAAATTTTTCAGCTCTCCCACGTAATTAATAGTTTCTAATGGACTTTATTATATTAAAAGTTAGTTTTTTACATTTTTTATTTAGATTTATAACTTATTTGAAGAAATTTTTATAATATTATATATAAAATCGATATAAATTCTGTTAAAAACAAATCAATTATCAATTTTAATTAATATAAAAAATAATATTAATATATAATGATAATCAAAAATAATGCAATTTGAGTTTTTCTTAATTATGATTAATAATATATGTATTTTTTATATATATAAAAGTTTTAAATTCAATAAATGATTTTTATTTTTCATTCTGAATTTTTCTGAGCAAGATGTTCTAATTGCATATACATATAAATCAATCAATTATTATTAATTATTAACTAATTTAATTGACATAATATGCAATTAAAGAGTGTTAGCATTATTTTGAGCAAAAAATAAAAAGCATTTATTATAAATTAAACGTATCATCACTTTTAATTCACACAATGTATATAAATTATTTACAAACAATAATTTGATACTTTTCAATACTAATAAATAATAAGAAGTTGAAGAATTGGAAATTATACAAAAACTTGCCTATGATTTTTAATTATATTATGTTTTATTTTATTAATTGATAATTGTAATATATTATTTTTCAAATATCAATCAATCAAATATATACAATACGAAATTTTGTATGAGATTTTAATGATAATCAAAGGCTTGGAATCGCAAAGTATGAATTTTAATAGGAAATTCTTATTATTAGGAAAGGCGCTGATGTTGATATTACAAAGAATTTTTTGCGAAGCGACATCAATGTTGATACAAGGAAAGAATTTTTGTATGAATTTCACGGGATTTTATTCAGAAGAATACGAAAGCATGTAACGGTAATTAGGGTACAAGTTTAATATTTTCTCGATTATTTCAGGATTTTCGTAATCACGTTGTGAAGGCAACATGTACATGTGATAGAAAATTTAAACTTTCAATTGACCAGCATTATAAATTTAAACACCCCTTTATTATTATCAGTATTATTAATATGGAAAAATTAGTCTATTATAAAATAGAAATAAGAATATATATAAAAAATAATAATTAAAATATCAATGTTAATAATTAAAATAATGAAAAATTAATTGCCGATATATATGAAGAGAAGAAACGGATAAATTCCATTAGTTGTATTTTTTATAGAAAGTTCTTTATGATTTTATATATTTCTATTATTAATGAGAAGTTCTTTATGCATTTTATATAATTGTCTCTTATTTTTAAATTTTCGGCTAAAATGGCTAGGTTTCTGTTCTTATCCAGTAGTTTGGTGGCAGTTTTGATCGGTATGGTATTTGAGCATCGATTGGAAGGTTCCGTAACCACATGAGAACCACAGGCAAGTTGCTAAAAGGGTAAACTTCGACCGGTGCGGAACGGAGAAAACCGTTGAAGTTTTGAGAAGCGACTCGTGTTGGAACGGAACATTTTTGATGAGATGAGCTACTTTTTTTTGCTTATAATTTTAAATTTTTTTTTGTTCTTTTTTTTGATTATATGTTGCCATTAGGAAAGGGATAAAGATATTTCACAAAATCATTCCACAAGAGGAAAAACAAGAAGGTCGGAAATAATAAAAAACCAAATAAGAACGATCGAAAGGAAAAACGTAATGAGATGGTAAATATTTTTAAATCCGGTGTTAATGACAATTCAATCAGTAATATTATCTGGTTTTCTTTGTGAAATCTCTTTTAAATGCAAATTCAAAAAAGATCGTCTACGTAATTGGTTTTATTTTTAAAGATTTTGTGGGGATTTTTCAAATTATTGATAAACTGCCGAAGACCCCGTCTTGTTGGAAAAACAAGACGAGAGTTTAAATAATAATTCAATAACATCACCTCATCAGTGTATTTTTATAATAATCAGACCACAAAATAAATTGACCACAAGATTTAGATACCGATACAGTTAATGTCACCTTATCGTTATGACATGTATGTCTCAGACCATTTGTCACATGACATGTACATGTTATGTATATCAATATCAATATTAAAAAAACGCATCGTGTGATTTTTGTTGAAAAATTGGTTTGTAAGCAAATTAGAGATTGTTGAAAGCAGTGTTTCTTAACGGACTTTCGATATAATGGATAGAGGTTCAAAACAGCCATAATAAATCTCACTCGATATTACCGTTACGAATTTACTAATAAACTAAACAAAACTTAATTGTCTACAAACCATCCGATGTATTGAGAGTCACTTTCATTGTTTGAATTAATTTAAGTTGCATGTAAAAGATAATATTTGTTAAATAATATTATGTTTATTTTTGAATTACATACATGTACAGAACACACTACGTAAAAATTTAAAATAGTGATTTCAACCAAAAAAAAAGGTTGTAATTCGAATCTTGAAAATACCCAAATTCCTACGCATCTAAACATAAAAATTTAAATCTTTGATATTAAAAATAAAATTAGCAAATATTGATCCCAAAAAAAAAGAATATTTACTAATTCCGCAAAGAAATTAATTACTTAACGAGATTAACAATAGTCATATATTACTTTTTTGCTTTGTGCAATTCTTTTAATTTTTTAAAGCCAACTTGTCATACTTTCTGAAATTTTTGAATAAGAATATGAAGACTTACTTATTCTTGACCATTTAAAGTTTCCAACGTAATTTTGTTACGTAAGCCCCAATATAGTAGTTCCCATTTAGATTTTGATAAATATTGATTAAATTCCTGATAAATATCTTATACATGTATATTATAGTTTAAATATATAAATACACCTATTTACTATTTACCAAATCAAATATAATCAATAAAATCTTCTGAACTCAATAGGTATAAAGTATGAGATCCAGTTACAATGTGGCTAAAAATAATCCATCAATTTGTAAAATTTATTTATTCATTAAATTAGAGAAATTCGATTTTGAAGCCTCACTAAAGAAAAACCACTATTCTGTTATCATGGAAATATGTAATATGTGTTATATAATAACACAATAGAAGTTGAATATTTTCATATATAAAAGATGTTACAAGATTCCCATGATAGTATACCCTCACCCATATATAGACGTTCTGAAGTAATTTACATGGCAAATTATGATATAATATTTTGTGTTTATGAGAATTTTCAATCCTATTAAATCATATGCTGTTATAAAAAAAGAGATGAAGCATAAATTGCATTACAATTTTTATATCAGAAGTTTTGAAGCATATGCATTACAATATTTTTGATATACTCATTAATGATGTCTCCTATAAACTAATAAAAATTATGAATCAATATTTTATTATTTTATCGCAAAATTTTGTATGATACTTTATTAAATAAATAATAATTTTTCATACTAAATAGATATAATTTAATAAATTATTAAGCAATTTACAGTGGCTCCCATCATTATGGAATCAGAAGATTAATAAAATATAGTAAAATTGAAATTTTCTCTCTATATTAAACTTTATAATGTTATTAAGAAATAATTTTATTTTTATATCAAAATAAAGTTCATAAGTTATAGTTTAATTTATATTTTTTTCAAATTTTTTATATTTTTCTGAAAGAGTTATTCTAATCACAAAATTTTTTTCTAATTAAAAATGAAATTTAATTAGAAAAAAATTTTGTGATAACTTTGTAATCAGAATAATCCTTTCAGAAAAAATCTAAAAAGCCTGAAAAAAATATATATTAAATTATAACTTATGAAATTTATTTTGATATAAAAATAAAAATTATTTCTTAATAAAATTAATATAGAGAGAAATTTCAATTCTTATTATCCAAATTTTGTGAACATAAAACATAACAAGATTATTATTTGTATATTTATAGGTTGAGACATATTTTTAAGAATTAATAAATTATTAAACTTTATGTCAAAAAAATGACACTTCTTCTTGAAAATAATATGAGATTGTATTTTTACATGAATATTCTGCTGGACTAAAATGAATCTTGAAAAAATAGCTAAGCATATTCATTATAACAAGTCTATAGTCATTTATTAAATTCAAAATATCATGAAAACTGAGATCTAAATGTTGAGAAAAAATCGGAAATTTATATAAGGAAGTGTATAAAGAATTATCACAATAATTTAATAATTTATAATCATTATTTGGTTATACATGTAATATCACAAACTTTAATGGTGATTTTAATTTGATAGCTTCCAGAATTCATTAAATACTATCGAATGGTCTTAGTAACATTTTTATGACGCTATTTCAAACGACTATTATTCAAAAAATTAATCACATTTTTTTGACAGGTTGTATTATTTATAATTTGAGGTGGTTATGCACAAAATTGTAACAGGTGAACCACCATTTGGTGAACCGAGTCATGATAGAAATCTCGTATTAGACATTTATAAAGGAGTCCGACTATGATTGTGCAAATTCATTATAGAAAATTTTTGGATTCTGTGCCAGAAAACGGGTCTGTACAAACACAATCCCTCCAGTTTATGAAATTCTGAACGAACGAAATTACGAATGTACAAAGCACAAAAGTATAGCACACTAAATGCATGGAATATTAAGATTACCACAATTTTGGCATTTCGTGCATTTAAATGCTGTTCGTTCGGTACTCGGAATTTCGTTCGGGATTTCGATCATGATATATTATGCAACAAAGAATGTAATTTATATTCTTTTTTTTAACTCATTACAATTTTTTCTTTAGATGAAATAGAGAATACGAGTTACTTAAAAGAAAATTACAAGTACATGATTGCAGTAAATATCCTCGTTGGAAAACGATCGTTTGCAGTGAATGTTTTGATTATCACTATAAAGCTAAATTATCTAGCGAAAACTACATCGTGCATAACCCCTCTATTCTAAGTGCCTCTTTACACAAACCTCCCATTATAAACCCTACCCGGTGAGTACTAATCAGTTTTATGTAAGAGACCTGGGGACTAATTGCGGAAAAATACGTTAGGTATTATATTGTATCATATTAATATTCAGAAAGAACAGCAACAAGCTTCAAGAATTCTTCGTAGAGAACAGCACCCAAAACAAAAATAGAATTATTATAGAGAAAAAAAAACAACTACATGTATCATTGATTTTTTCATTAAGAAATTTTCTTCGCGGAATGGCATATAATCTTTCTTTTGATTAACATTTAAGGATTTATAATACGTTATAATTGAAGTCCATTAGATTTTTTAAATGTCAAGATTTGGACATGATATGTTCAGATTTTGAATGTCAGATTTATAAGTATCTCGTGATTTTTGGGTTTATCGATATGGGGATTTTGGCTGTCGGAGTTTTAGGCGGCACCCCTTTTAATTGATAAAATCATGTTTTCTTGGTTATTCGGTTATACAATAATCGGTTCAAATCGCTATTTAAATTTATACGAAGTGTGTGCTGCATATAGTCAACGCGCTACTATATTTAAATACTGTAAACTATTTGAAACCGTATGTCTTGCTTCATGCAATTCAAAAGTAAACATAACTTTATAAAAGTTAAGATTTAAATAACAATTATCGTCTTTTACATGTAACCTATTGAAAAATTAAAATTGATTTAAATTAATTCAAACAATAAAAAATGATGGGTTTGGGCGATTTTTTTTCAAAGTAAATACATAATATCGAATAAGATTTATTATGGCCTGTTTGAATCACTATCCTTATCAAGCTTTTTTCATATATTGAAAAATCATCCGATGTGTTTTCTCATATCTGATATTTGATGTACATGTGGGATGACTGTAAAATTGATTTGCAATGGAGAATAAGGTGACATTAAACCGCGTTATATTTGGATCTTGTGGTCAGTTTTTTATGTGGTCTGATTGAAAAACACACTGACGTAGTGATACTCTGAATCACTATATAAACGCGTGTCTTGCTTCCCTAACAAGATGGGTGTTCAGCAGTTTATCAATAGTTCAATTTATATTAAAAATTTTCCTTACAAAAATATTCTAAAAAATATAATAATAAGATCCAACTACGTAGACAATCTTTTTTTAGATCCGCGCTTTTAAAAGATTTCGTAGCTGCCAATATAAAATCAAATCTCGTTCTTATTTGGTTTTTTATTATTCCAAGGTTGGATAACCTTCGTATTTTCCGAAGCGCTTCTCAAATATCTTTATCCGTTTCCGTATTTATACTGCAAAATCAAAAAAAATTTAAACCAAAAAAAAAGTAACCTTTACCACCAAAATGTCCATTCCAACACGAGTCGCTTCTCAAAGCTTCAGCAGTTTTCTCCGTTCCGCACCGGTCGAAGTTTACCCTTTAGCAGCCTGTCTGGGGTTCGCATGTGGCTACGGAATCTTTCAATCGATGCGTAAATTTCATACAGATCAAAACCTTCGTAAGCTACCACCAAACATGACAAAACCGAAACCTAACCCGTTTTAGCCGAAAATTTAAAAAGAGACTATATATAAAATATATAAAGTACTTTCTCATTATATAATATAAAATACAAATGTAATGTTATATGTTTAAATTTTTTTTCTTTTTTCTTATTCATATTTTAATTGACAATTTTTATTTTTGTTTTTTATACATGTATTCTTTGTTATATAGACTAGTTTTCCATAATTATAATAATAAATAATATAATAAAGGGGTGTTTTAAATTTAAATTTATCAATAATGGTCAATGAAAGTTTTAATTTTCCGTAATTGGTCTCGTAACATTTCGATTAATTATAAATGTATTTTTATATAGATTCAGTTTTAATTGAAGAAACAGCACCGCACCAAAGTGATGGAAAATACTAGAAATCCATAATTTTATTACTATTATTATTATCATTATTATTATCCATAAGAAATGGTAACTATTTTTATTTAATTTGTTAGCATAAAACATAAAGATTATGATTTATAATAATGTAGTGATCCTAACCGTTTATGCGGTTGACCAGTTGTTAACCGGGTACATACAAAGTCTTTCCATCTTTTTACAATTTTTCACCACTTATAACTTTTGTGTCGGATTTATTTTTCTGGGTTTATCAAAAAATTCGTGCTTTTTGATTGGTATTGGTGCAATCAGCCAATAGCGGTGAGATCCAATCAAAATTCCAGGGGACATTAGTTTTTTTGTCTCACATAGAATTTCATTCCCACATTTACATGCGCAGTACCCACAGAAAGTATCGCCCGATTTACGCGTGTAACCATTTTTTAAAAATACATTTATCCATTATAATAAACATCACTTTATTTATCTTTTTCAACACTATAATTTCGTTAGGTTAAAAAATGGTGTCCACCTATACGCAGCTTAACGAAATTGAAAAGGGGAAGATTTTGGCGAACATGGACACCACAAATGTCGCTCAAATCGCAAAAATACTCGGACGCGACCCCACAACGGTACGCCGCTTTCTAAACAAATATAAACGAACCAGAAAAGTGAAAACTTATCACGTTCAGAAGATCACAAACATGTAAAGGATTTACTTATACGTGAAGCTAGTGAAAAATGACATGAATCATTACGCGAAATAGTTAACAATTAGACTTCACTTGTAGTTTATCAACCGTTGCAAATGTATTGCAAAACTCCGTACTTAACTCACGTATCGCAGCGAAGAAACCTTAACACATACATATGCTCATATTAAATGATGTGAAGAAAATAAAAATAAATCAGCTTATGATTGGTCAAAAATAATTT